GAACGTGTTCCCTGTGAACATCAGTCTCGTATCAACAGTTACATGCAGATACCTTTGCGGCCAACACATTACTGTCTATTTCAATGCCAGGAAAGCAGGTGCACATTTTAATCATATGCATAATTAGCCTTAGGCAAGGAAACAAAATGCAAGCACAAACATTACGAAAGAAAATTTGTGCAGGACATCAATAAAATGTAAGGGGTCTGTAAACTAAACGACTGCAGAAGCTAGGAAGTAACATATTTTGACAAGTACAATTTTCCTTGACTCTTGTATGACCTGCATCAGAGTTCTCCATGCAAATTACACATAACCAAGCAGTTTACTGGAACCGTCACAGACATTAGAAATACTAAATGGTAAATACAATGGACCTGTCTTTTACAATAGAATCGTATGTGACACCATAGACATTCCCACATGGTTGTCGCCAGATGTGGCAGACCTTGTCTGGAACCTCCTGGACAAGAAACCACATTGCAGACTTGGCGCACTGGACATCAAGTGGCATCCATTCTTTGACGTGAGTTCTTATCCCATGTCTGACATGGTATAATAAATAATACAGAATATACACATGTTTCAGTTCTGAACTGTGCTTTGTCCATGCAAATCAAGCACAGAGGCACAGCAGAGCAGTTCATGCCTTCTGACACTATTCTGGACAATCTCGTTGTTTGGAAAGTTCAGCATAATTTACATTCCCAATCAAATAAAAATAACTTATGTGATGGGCCTAACACCGTCAATACATAAGCAGTAAGACCGCAGTAAAAGGTTTAGAAAGGTGACACATAATATATTGCCAGAGAAGAATTTCAAAGGTGTCTCTCAGTACACAACAATTTTCTTTGATCCTTGAAGGCAAGATTGGATGTCCCAAAGTTCCTTGTAACTGCAGTCCAAAGTTTATATTCAAGCAGAAGATTGCAATTCAATTCCTTTTACTTCCTTCGTGATTGAAGGGTCTTTTACGTTGAAGCATTCTCCCTTCTACCTCCTCATACTTTAACTCTGCAATCAACAGTCTGGTCCATGTCACTAACGTTTGTGCTTCATCCTACAGGGACTCAAGTGCAGTGACGTGATGGCAAAGAAATACCAGATGCCGCGCCCCCCACTACGACGACCAGTCGGCTGTATTGCGTCCAGTCAGATACGAGACAGTATTTTCAACCGGAGTGAAGACAATTACGAGGTAAGTAAATGTACTGTGTGTGACATTTTATTATGTGCTACATAGCAACAGGGTTTATACTTGGTGATTCTGTTGCATTTGGAACATGTCCTGGAAGCTGAAGGCCATGTTTCCATGAAGGTGTTTTAGTAATTAAAAATTCTACGGCTGTCCCGAGTCCCATGCTAATACACGAGTGGTGCATGACATGAGATGGCTTATGGGCATAAAAATTAATTAGTGTTAAAAGAATGAAATGCAATAAAGAGAGTCTACAATTAAGATACAGCTTTATAAACAGGTTTCAACATAACCTAACGTTTGTACCTTATGAACACTATAATAAACAAGTTCCACTACAACTGAATTTACTTATATATATCTCTGTAATTCATTTTGCAGGTATGCACATATGTTGCGCCCGTACTTATACCACATTAGTCACATGACGGAGACATCGAATAGCGGCACCCAAGACCAAGAAATGGACGTTCTTCAACTCGCGTCTATCATCGAAGAAGTCATCACAATACCATTTGAGAATAGTGAAGTACTTAAATAGTTAAATTGTTTTCACTTAAATACTTAAATTGTTGTTAGAACATAAGTTAAATAATGTATTAGTTAAATTGCTTTTCGTTCACATATTATATATATAAGAATAAAAATTATAAAATATGTTCATAAACTTTCGCTGCATGCAATTGCATACTTGTTAGCCGTAATTCCAGTTCTGATCTGATCCAAATGTTTATTTCCTTTGCAGACTCCAGAAATGGACGACGTGATGTTTGCATCGGCCATTTAAGACATCGTGAATCAGCTAAATTAGTATAATTAGGGCATTTTTAGTTGAAAAGTTAAATAGTTAAATTGTTGTAATGAAAAC